CGCTGTTACCTCACCCTCACTCTTCCGGTTACCTACAACCTTTTACTCTGTCACTCTGGACTCGACTTTTCGGTCTTGCTCGCGTCTTACCGTAGCAGTAGTATATGTATATACTGGGTGAGTCCATTTGTATAAAAAGGGGTGGACCCCTCAACAATTAATATAGTCGTGGCACTAGCGAAATAAAAGCTCACTAGAACAGTTGCCATGAAAATATTTGTAAAAAAGATAGAGGCAAGCCACGTCACGTTGGTGAGAAAGTGATTGAAATCGAGATGTCACGTCAAGAACGATTACATTACAGAATCTTCATTTCAAAATGTACAACAGGAACACCGGACCAGATATGGCAGCAGTATTCAATGCATGGACGAACGGTAGATCTATAAATGTCCAAGATGGATTCTGACGAGAGAAATTATCTGGTACGACACAGTAAATCAACTCTCCTGGCAGTAGACGTAGCAGTTGATTCGATATAGTAGCTCTACTCCGTAGCAATGAAAAAGATAAGGCCAAGTAGGCGTAGAGTGTTGCTCTCCCGGAGTCTAGCATCAGCCATGCTGAGGTCAAGTAGAAAAGTTTCTCTGTGGTGATTAAATGAAAGCAGGAGAAACGAACAATAGAGTGTGTCGAATCTTCGTTTCTTCAAAATTCTATATTTACTATCGTTGAATAACATACAAGTAATGAAAAAGCATCAGGTTGACGTGAACAAATAATCCTACAATGATTAATACTTTCAGTATCGCGTTTCTCCGAAGCTGCCATATTGTGACAACAAGTCCTTTAGAAATGATCGATTGTTGAGGCATAAAAGTTATTGTTGTAATTCATTTATTGCCATTTCTGAAGTTTAACTTTGGACAATTCATAAAGCTATTAGACGTGTCGCGTCGCGTGTGTTCTGCGTCATTTACAAGTTTGATTTTTTTCACCTTGCATCTTATGTCTAGAACAATGTTTCCAAACCTTTTTTTTTCAGCCAGCGCCGCCAACCTTTTTGTCAATACCCCACTGTCAGATTAAATTTCGAATATTATACTGAATTCATTCTTTCAAAGTAAACTATCACTGTATTAGTGCAAAAATAATTTTAATATTGTTTTCCTTTCTTTAAATGCCAATGATTAAAATGGTAAAAAAAAAATCAACTTTTATTTGATAGCTTATCTCAATGTTTTCAATGTGATATCTGACTTTGGTGGTTACTGGCTAAGTCTCTTACTCTATACTTAGAAGCAATGGTAGATCTCGTTTTGTAGTTTATAGGCGGTTTCTTTGTTTAGTATAAAGCTATGTAACTGCGATGAAACCGCTTACAGCCATATAAGAAGTTGAAAAATCAATGAAGAAAAGCTTGATACCTTCCCACAGCTTTAAATAACTTTCTGAAATTTCCATTTGTAGCCAATATTAAATAATTTATAAAAAATTGAAAAGAATGGTAAATACCCAGTAATACTGATTATGTTCACTACCCGACAAATGAAATAAAAACTCCCAATGTCCCCTTTTAAAATAAGAGAGTCCACGTTGGGAAACACTAGAGTTTAAAAAAAAAAGGTTTTTAATAGTGAAACAAAGAGACTGGGAGTTTAAAATAAGGCGATAAAGCCGCTAAGACGCAAGAAGTTACTGAGTGAGAAAGAACGCTGAAGAGGGAAAGGGCAATAAAAGAACAGGATTCAAAAAGACAGAAGATGACATTGCACTTAAATTTTTGAAGCAAGAAGCTGGAAGAGAGTTCCACAAGCGAGAAGTGCGAGAGAAGAAACTATCAGAATGGAAATATTTACCCATTTCAACGGTCAAATGAGGAATTTCAGCTGCTAATCTAGAGGGTGGTCCGAAAGTCTTGTTACCCGCGATATGAATTTTTCCGGAATAAATGGATGGGGTGCAAGTTCCTGCACCTGTCGATTGGCCTTCCAGAAGTCCAGACCTCACGTCTTGCGACAACGCTCTGTGGGGTTTATTATCGAGGAGAGAGTTTCACAGGAACAATAGCAGAATACCTATCACTTGAATGACGCCATTCGGAGAGTCTTTGCAACAATCATCAAAGCACAGCTTCGTGAAATAGCTCACATGACATTGACGCCACATCATTTTGTGCCACGCAAATGATGGTGTCCATACGGACCTTCTCGACGTGTGACAGCATCAATGAAGGTGAATAAACTGAATCCAGTACATTTTCTTTGTATTACTTGTTTTGTTGTTTTCCTTAGTGTTTGGTAGTGGGTGACAAGACTTTTGGAACAGGCTGTAGCGTTATGCTTAAATTCCTGAAGCCGAGGTACCAAAGAGAAAGTTCATCAGAACATTTACCATGAAAGTATTTATATAATAAGAACAAGGAAGTTACGTTACGGCGATAGGAAAGTGAAGCAAGCTAAGATTTCAGGTCAACATCGATAATATTGCAGTTTATTAAAAATTAATTCAAGACTTTGTTTTAATATATAATTTCAGTTTAAAACTGATAGAAACAAATGGGTCTCAAAGTGAAAACCCGTTCTAATAAATCAGAGAAGGTTTCTTTTATATCATGGCCCTTTTCACAGATTCCCTATTTTTTCCTTTTGTTCTCCATATCTTTTTGACAAAGACAGTCAAGTGGATTCCCGTCGGCATTGCGGTCTTGAATTTGGAACGTTCTCTTAGACTTGTGCCAACCAAAAGCTAGAGTATACAGTCTACTTTGTTTTTTAACCCATAGCCAAGAGGAGAAATTGATTCATGTATTTCCGAAAGAAAAAAAAACAAACAATAGTCTCGGTTAGAGCTTGAACCCGGCTCGCCGATTCCATTTTCAGTGCCAATAACCGTTGCGCCATCAACACAGAAATAGCATCACAGAATTTAATTTGAAATCAATAATAAACTCCAGTCTTCGTAGAATAACGAAAATAACAGAATGTAGGAATATCAAATTAATCACTTAGAATTGACATCCACCCTCTATTAATGTCGTGGTCTGGTTGAACTCCTTACAAATATAATATTTAACAAGTGGCAAGTCAAATTTTCGTGATTAGTCAAGTAGCTTTCTAAATACATCTGTCAAGTGACTCGAAGGACTTTTTTTTTTTGTTTTAGTCAATATCTGAATGAATTACAAGCACTTGACCGTAAAGACTGTCTGAAGTAATAGTTGTAGAAATGTATACACAGATCACGGTGACATTTTTGTTTATGGCTTGGAAGGCGAAAAAAAAAAAAAAACAATTAAGGAGGAGTCAGATTGATCATAAATTGTTTTAAAAGCTTACACTGAAAATAAAATGAAACTTATTTTTGCATATTTTAATTTTTAAAACTTACAAGTTGATTTTTGAATATTTGCCTTTATTTATTTGATTTTTTTTTATTTATTATATAAAAATCCGGAAATGACATTCAACAAAATATATCAGGTATAGCTGGCCACTCGTATTCGAGGATATCCGTCAAGCCAATCCTTATTGCAAACGCTCGCTCAGGCACATTTGTGTTTGCTCAACACACACAGAGCCAACCTATTACAGTTTCTGGGAAAGAGCGTGATCAACACTTTGAGCAAAGCCAGCACGCTCAAACCCTCGGCCATGATGACTTGTGACTTCGAGCTAAGGTTTCCGTCTACCCACGGTATGGTTTCCGGGCGCTTTCCTGGCAAATTGACCCTGGTGAGAATGCGAACGTTCTAACCATCCGGCCACGTGCCCGTCAACAAATTTAACAAGGACTAAATATTATATCGACTTATTATATAAGTTGATAATATTAACTTATATAATAAGATATAATATATATAATGCAACTTCTCATTTCTTTTTGTAAAACATATGATTTTTTTTTCATATAGCACGTGGATAATTCAATCTGAGCAATCTTAGTAGACCTACCGTAGTCAAATATTGTATTACTGGGCATCATCATTGATATATTTAATAGCAAATAAATAGGTTTCATTCATATTTTCTTTTCTTTTTTTTTTTTGTACAAAGCTACCCCTAAAGAGTAAGAAAAACCACTTGCTGTAAGATATTTGATACGAAGATTTAGATACCGTACTTCTTTTTTTCGTTCATGCCTGACTAGTTCAGAATAAGGAACACAACTGAAACATATACGGTATAGATACAAAAAAAAGGGGTGTCGTTGGAAAGGCAATACCTCAGCGATGTAAACACGCACGAACTAAAACGAACACAAATTGGAGAAAGGTAAAAAAAATCATTGTTAATTCTTCATTTATATATTTGTAGATTTTAAGCGGCAGATATGGTGAATGATGTTCTGCTATTCATGTAGCAACAGAAAGAATCTAAGTAACGGGAGGCAGGTTAAATGGATTTACCTGTACCGTTAACGTTAGCCAAAAGTGCCGTGAGAATGTAGGCCCACCAAGTTGGTTACGGTTATTGAACCTGTGTATAATGCAAACGGTCACCGAAAAAAGCATGATTTTTAATTTCTTCAAAAATATTACCTCTGTATAGTGCGACTCCCTATTTGTGCATAATTACAAAAACTCGTACTATACACAAGTATATAGGGTATAATACTTTCAATAGGGTGTTTTGAAAATCCCGTGATGCTAATGTTGTTTCCCCACGTGTCTAATGGAAGGTTAACAAAAGAGCAGAGATAACAAGATAAACAAACGCAATAACAAAGGGAGATAATCCAAGTCACCGCTATAAATAGAATGGTAGACTGATTTTCTACGGCTTATCGACCCTTTTCAGCTTATTTAAAACCAGAAAATATTTTTAGATTGTAAGAATTTTTTGGAGATAATAATGATTTATTGATACAAGTTTTACTAATTAACCCATAACTTCGGGGAGAAGAGGTGGATTAATACCTTTCTCAAGGGTATTTGCGCGTCAAGGAATATAACGAAACCAACGGGAATTGAGACTCACCGATTAACAATTCTGAGCCATTATCCATTACACCACCCGCTCATCCAAGTCTACAGCACCTGTTATTCTCAAACATGAGACTTACGGCCATATAGTGTGGAAAAACCGGCTCCCGTACGATCAACGAAATTAAGCGACGTCGAGCCTGGCCAGTACCTAGATGAGTGACTGCTTCGGATTACCCGGTGCTGTAGCTTGGATGTGCGGGTGGTGTAATAGATAATGACACGGAATTGTTAATCGGAGAGCCGGGTTTCACTTTCAGTTGAGTTCGTTATATTCACTTACGCGCAAATACCATTAGGAAATGTATGAATCCACGTCTTCTTCCTCCAGCTATGGGTTAATTAGTAAGATTTGTATCACTAAATCATCATTCTCTCCCACCAAAATTCCTACAATCTAACAATCTTTTCTGGCTTTAAATAACCTGCAAAGATTTGATAAGCCGTAGAAAACGAATCAGTCATAAAACCCGTCTAGGTTCCAACGAGGCTCGATGCTGCTTGACTTTGGTGAGCGTACGGAAGCCGGTGTTTCAACGTGATATGGCCGTAAGCCGCTCCGTAATTAAATAAAATAGCGAAAATACAATCTGGACGCCCCCTTTCCTGGAAATGGACGTTTCCGCTTTGAAGGATAGATGGGAAGAAGCGGCTCAAAATTTTTAATTAGCTTGGCTTTGATAAGGCAAGGCTCATTTACTTCAGGAATGCAGACTTCTTGTTGGGACTTCTTTGAATCTATACCAGCTACTCATTTTTTTCCGTGTCCTAATTGGAAACGGTACACTTCACCTACAGCAGTTAGCTTGGTACAAGGTTAATACGTAGGGAACCCAGTGAGAATTAAAGTCAATACCCAATAGTAAGAATCAACCGGACCTGCTTACTATCAGTTTCATCAACAGAATATCCCGAATTTTTACCTGGGATCGAACACCAAACACCAATCTGACATCACAGGATGGACTAGGTCCGAACTAAACTCGATAGTAAGGATCTACATTTGGTCAGAGATTTATCATAAATCTCTTACATCTTCGCAAATGAAATATTGCTTTCTTCACGAAAATAGCGCTAAGATTTTTTTCCGAAATGTTATTACATTAAGTGCAGACAGGCAGGATCGTTTCAAGGGTCTCGTGACCCCTACGAATCCAGGATACAGCCCCCTTGAATCTATGATACCAGTCCCCCCACTCTACTACATCTTAATTTTCATAAGATCGTATTCATATAAAATACAAATTTTATTGTAACCTAATTATGTACAATAATAGATCATATGCAATGTCGGTGAACAATTCAACTAGAAAAATTGAAGATAATACAATGTATCTAAATACAAATTAGAGACATGTCATAATAGATCATTCCATCTTAAATAAATCATTAATGTTTTGCGGTAATTTTTAACATCAACTTGAAATTTTCTTTGTGAAAAAGTTGAATAATTCTAAAACATTCATGGTTATGAATAAAAAATAGTGAATTTTATATAGTGTTTTTTTTTTTTTTTTTTTTTGAGCAAAACAAATTCACGAATTTGTACGAAAAAAAGACCCCAGAACGATATCAAAATAATCGATAATTTTTCATCCTTTAACAGCCAGAGTTGTGCTTAATTTAATTTGTAACGCATGTAAATGTAGGTAGAAAAAAAGCAAATGTTGATAAGATAGCGAGGGCCACAAAGCACTGCCCGGGGGCCTCAAATCAAGCTTGTCCCACCACCCACCACGGTCGGGGAGTTCAGGAGTATATTTAAACTGGACAGATTTACACCAATATATATTCTTCGCCTTAGTCTCTGTTCTATTTTTTTTCTCTTTTTGATGCAAATAATCTTGTTAGAAATCATTTTCCCCACAAACACACACATATATATATATATAAATGCCGACTTATCCTTCTTTTGTGTTCGCAAACAGTTTGCAATCAGATTTGACGGCTATACAAATACAAATCATTTATTAGGTTTGATTTCTGTACTTAATCTGCTTAAAATAATCTGAATGACCCAAAAATGGATTTGATTAATTAGAGTTAGCTTTGTTTTGTTTGTTTCGAAGCCTTAAATCAATTTAAATATGTGTCCGGGTGTTATCTGACAACGAATTAACACTGACCAAGAATGTTTTGAAATCTCATTAGAATTCACTAACTCCGATAAATAGTGAACCAATGGAATCTCTTGGCAAGCACCAGGTCCGGAGCGTACTACCCCCGATCGGAGGGTGGGTACCCAAGTCTGATTGAGGGTCCCGGGCAGTGCTTTGTGACCCTAGCTATCGTATCAACATTTGCTTTATTTATTACTACATTTATATACGTCACAAATTAAACTAAACACAAGTGACTATTAAATATGAAAAATATTCCCGAATTTTGATGTCGTTCTGGGGTCTTTTTTTTCGTCCAAATGTGTGAATTTGTTTTGCCCGTGCCAAATCTAAAAAAAGAAATACTATATAAAATTCCCTATTTTTTATCGATAATGTTGAATGTATTAAAATTATTCAACTTTTTAACAAGATAATTTAATTAATTTAAGATGGAATGATTTATTATGACAGGTCTTTAATTTGTATTTAGATACATGGGATTTACACTGAGACCCCGCCTATTCGCGTGTCAATATTCGTGGCTTCACACATATGCGGATTTTTCTTTAGAATATATGTACTTGTTATTCACGGAAACCCCGAATATTCGCGTGTTTTTCTGAAGAACATATGTACAAATTATTCGCTGAGAACTCCCTTGATTCGCGTATTTTTTCGATAGAACATATTTAAAATATTCTTGTATTATTTTCCTGTTTAAAGTGATTTAAAACATACAACAGTCCATTTTTTATGTTGAAATTTGGTAGAATTGTACATCTTCATTGTAAAAAACAAACGCTAAATCATGCATAGTACTTGGGTTTTGTTCTTTGTTAGTAGCTGGGGTCTTAAAAGTGGCTTATGCAAAGTCTGAGGGCATCATCACAGTTCTGTTTTTAGAAAATCTTTTAAACTTTATATTTTATGTCTTGTTACACATTTTATACAGTATTTTCAATGGTTGTAACGATGTATGCATAATTAAAAACGGTTATTGTACGTATGAAAGAAAATTTACGCTAAGTGTATGGTCACCTATGCTATTTTATAAAAATGTTTTAAAAGGGTCTGAAATATTTCTAAAGTGTTTAGGATGAAAGTTTAAGGCATATGGGGTCTTAACAATCAAAATAGGTACTTATAATCACTATTAGTGGGGTTACAAGTATTCGCGAATTCTAAATATTCGCAGTCAGTTCTGGTCCCTAACGCCCGCGAATACGGGTGGGGGGGGGGAGGATTCACTATATTTTCAAATTTTTTTACTTGAATTGTTCACCTATATTGTATATCATTCATTATTGTACATAATTAGGTTACAATAAAATTTGTATTTTATATGAATACGACATGAAAATTGAGATGTAGTAGAGAGGGGACCTCGTACCATAGATTGCGGGTTTATCATAGATTCGGTGGGGCCCATGAAACCCTTGCTCCGACCCTGGCAAGCACCAATTATATATTATGTTCCCCAGGAAAAAAGATTATTAAATCTGAAACCAAATTAATTTAACGGCAAAAAAGCTTCGAATAAACACATCGTTGACTCATTATAACCGTCCCTTAAGGCCTACCCTTTTACCTCAATGTAGGGAGGTGATGACAACGGGTCCGTGTCTGGGGTATACCACCGAGAATCTTAGTTCCTCCTAGGATCGCCCATGACTGACAGGTTGAAACCAGTGGTAAAGGGTCGCCATGTAGACTAGGTTACATTTATCATTCCTGTACACTTGCAGCTACTCTGTCTTCAACATTCAACGTGTAGTAGTGAGTTAAATGAGAAGTGTTCCGTTTACCAATGGTAGGATATTCATATGAGCAAGCAGACATGATTTTTACATACGGCCGTGCGAATGCTAATGGACGCGTGGCATCACAGCTGTATCAGATTGCGTTTCCAGACCGAAGACACTCGAGTCATTCAACCTTTGCTGGTTTATCATTGCGTTGCTGGGACAGGGTCCATGGCACCACAAAAAAATTCAACCAAGAATATATATATATATATATATATATAAAGAAAGAACAGTAAGATATATAATCCGGTGTTCTTATAGATATTTTTATTTTTACAAAATAGTGTTCAATGTAAATTCGAAGCTTTTAGCTTCCATTTTTGAAACATGGTTAGAACTGTGTAGCGAAAAAGAAACCATATTTTAAATCAGTTAATTTATAATACATATATATATATATATATATATATATATAGTCATCCACATATAGACTGTTTCGCAACTCATCAGTGTGGCTAGAAGTCCAGTTCCCGCTAGCTAAGATCAAACCCTGGCTGAATTGGCGTCAGTCGAAGAATCTACCCCCTAAAACGTATTTATTTTTAGATAAACACGCCATATAAAAAAATAATATATATATATATATATATATATATATATATATATATATATATATATATATATATATTCTTGGTTGAATTTTTTATTGATGCGTTTTGGAAGATTTCCTTTGTTTATTATTTATGAATTGCTATACTTTTTGGGGAAAGATAATGGAGTAGTTACCGTCCCCTTCTCCACGGTTTTGCAATTCAGAATTTTCCTTTTATACTGGTGATTAATTAACTCATAATTAGAAAAAAAAGTTTCACGACTCTCCTAAGTTTATTTTTGCGAAAGTGAGCGCAACTCGCCGATGTTTCTTTCCATGCCGTTGTGCTACCCGCACAACCAGCAGGATATGAAGCTTACGGTATCTGGCATTTCAAAGCGGTAACCCTTCTAAATACTAACCAGGCGTGACGTTGCTGATCCGATGCAAAAAAAAAAGTGTATTCAACGTACTGGAAGCAGTTTTACTTAATTTTTTCTTCTTAAAATGTGCCACTTTATAGTTTACTGTTAGTGCAATAAAGCTGTGAATGAGGTAAGTGGTTTGAAATAAAATATATTAAGACCTGTGATCTAAGTTAGCACTTTAAAATGCTGTGTAGTGTGATGTGGATGAACGTAATTAAGAAATTATGTTCCGATGATTTGTCGTGAAATGAGGAAACTGATACTAATGGCATTGCTGATTGAAAAATGTCAACCGCCAACAACAATTAACATAGAAAGAGAA